CATCCATCCATCCATCTATCCACTCATCCATCCACCCATCCACCTATCTGTCCACCCATCTATCCACCCATCCATCCAACCATCCATCCAACCAATTATCCACTCATCCAATCCTCTATCGATCTACCCACCTTCCTGGCCACCCATCTATCCAACAATGCTTATCATTTTTTTCCCACTCTGATCAGGTCATAAGTGGTCAGATGCTGACAGACAAGAAAGTTGGTACATACGTAGAAGTAGACATGTATGGGCTCCCTGCAGACACTGTCAGGAAAAAATACAGAACTAAAGTTGTCCCAAACAATGGAATAAATCCTGTTTATGATGAAGAACCTTTCGAATTTAAGAAGGTTTGTTTTCTACCTTACTCCAGTAAAAAGCAGATGCATAAGTTCTGTGCCATTGTATTTCATGTGTCTCACCAAAAATGGTCAGAGAATAGAACCCTTWGGGGTTGGGGATATGATTCAATGCTCCTAGCTTGCTGATGCCTTAACATTCACAGGATAGTAGGATAGGATAGGATATTCACCAGGATAGTAAAAATTATTTTGTCAGTCTAGTAACTTAGAAGATGAGCAGAACCCAGAACTTGAAATAACAGCTGGTCATTGGACAATGTTGGGCCAGAATTGGAACTTGTCCAGTCAAATCTTTGCATTGCCGGTCATTTCGACCAGTAACATTTATCATGACTGGACACTGAGCGACCATTATTTTAAGCCCTGAGAACCGATACTAAAGATCTCTGTAATCAGATCAACATACATTTTGAGAACATCATCAGTAACCGGTTCTTCTTTATCCCCTATTTTAGTAATGATGGGAAGAAACACTGTCTTGACCCTTTTTATGCATAGTCCTTTGAGCCCCATTTCCAGTAAATTTAATGTTATTTTGTTTGGGCTTTAAAAATTGCATACAGGTTGTATTGCCAAGTCTTGCTGTCCTGAGAATAGCTGTGTATGAAGAAAGTGGTAAACTCATTGGTCAGAGAGTATTACCAGTTGATGGACTCCATCCAGGTATGTCATGAGAGAAAATAACGGCAAGTATTATTATGTCTGAGCAGTAAATTCTGCTATCGTTACAGCTGTTACCTCATACAGTGAACGAAGGACTAACATATATCAGATTGTAGATTCTGCTCTTGTTACATTCTACAGTGCAACGAGTAAACGTATGAGCACATTTAATGTATTTGCATACTGCTATGCACAGGCATTTTCCTGCTAAAGGAGCTTTTACAGGCCACATTTGGTAAACCATCCAGCTTCGCATTGAAATGTCCATAGAAGTGTGCAAATACATTTAATGTAGTCATACTTTAGCGTGTTGTGGTGTAATGTAGTAATGTAGTCAATGCCATACAAGTGTTCTTGAATCAACTTTTCTTTGATATTTTTCCTATCAGGTTATCGGCACATAAAGCTAAGAAATGAATGTAATCAACCTTTATGCCTTCCTACGATATTTGTCAACATTGTTACCAAAGACTATGTTCCATCAGGTTTTGAAGGTGAGGCAAAAAATAAAAAGAATTCACCACCAAATAGAGGTATTGCGCCATCACATGACGACAGCCATTTTAGTGGTGAGAGGAGAGCAGTGAGATTTAACAGATTTTGTAGGTTGTTGTGTCATCTAACAAGGTGGTCGACATGTAATGGTGAACAACCTCTATAGACCTTTTTAGCTTGGGCATAATGTTTTCCCATTTTAGACCATGTAACATGCTCTTGGGAATAAGATTTTTTGTTCGGGTTGTATTCGCATTCATGTGTCTTTTCATACACAGCTGTTAAACAAAGAAATGATACTCTAGGGAATGACGTGGTCTGAAATGGGAAAACGTTGGGAAACAACCAAGCTAAAATGGGTTATTGGATTTCCCTAGCTTCTTAGTGGTTAATAATAGACCTTTTTCACTCATCAATTATTTTTCCTATGGATGTTTTTCACTGACATTGAGTCTTTATTATTTTAGATTTTGCTGCCGCTTTGTGTGATCCAATTGCCTACCAGTCTCAGGAAGAAAAGAGACAGCAACAGCTTGCTGCTCTTTTGGATGAGGAGGAGGAGGTTGATGGAGATGTAAGTAGGAAGTCCTCCTAGTGAAACTGAAGCTATAAGAGAAGATGATGAAACATGATGATGGTGATGATGATGATGACACACAATTATGATGGCTATATGGTAGATGATACATGATGGTGATGATACATGATGGTGATGATACATGATGGTGATGATACATGATGGTGATGATAATGATGATGATGGTGATGATAATGGGGATAATTATGATGATGATGATAATAATGATGATGACGATGATCATGATGGTGATGATGATAATCGTGATGGTGATGGTGTTGATGATGAAGCTGATGATGGTAATGATAATAGTGATGGTATTGTATTTTCGATTCTTTTCTTTACATGTTAACACAAAGTATCTCTCGACTTACTATTCTTCCCGCTCTTTCTCTCTCTCTATATTTATTTCGATTTACACGTGC